CCAAATCGTCACCTAGCACAGCTTTGTATATTAAAAATAAGAATGCGATGACTTTTCAATCTCAATTTCCTATAGCTTCACAAAAATTAATTGAAAATTGTTACATGGACGATTATTTAGATAGCTTTGAGTCTAGTCAAGAAGCGAATGACATAGTAAAACAAGTGATCAAAATCAATGAAAAGTCAGACTTTAAAATGCACAGTTGGTCAAGTAATTGTCGTTTGGCTCTTGTTGATATTCATTCGTCAGCTCAATCAAAAGAGATTATAAATAGTTTAAACCTGGATGAGAGTGTAGAAAAGGTGTTAGGTTTGAAATGGCTTAATAGCTCAGACTGTTTAACCTTTAATTTTAACAGCAAGAAAATTTCACCTGAAATTTTGCAAGGAGTTCAAAGTCCGACTAAGAGACAGTTTCTAGGTATCATTATGTCTATTTATGACCCTTTAGGATTTTTGTTACCTTTTTTGATTCAATCAAGATTTTTAATGCAGAAAATATGGAAAAGTAAAATACATTGGGACGATTTGATTTCGAATGACGAATTTATCGTGTGGAAAAAATGGCTTCTCGAGTTAAAAAATATTGAGTCAGTTAAAATTAATCGTTGTTATCAGTTGCGAGACTTTCAAAAAAAAGATGCCGAGCTACACGTATTTTGCGATGCAAGCTCAAATGCTTGCGCAGCTGTCTGTTACTGGCGCTTTCATATAGGCGAGGAAAGGTTTCACGTAGCTTTTGTGATGGCGAAAAGTCGTGCTATAGCTCTTAGCGACAAAAGTACGATTCCTAGATTAGAATTACAAGCCGCCCTGATTGGAGTGAGATTAGCTGAATTTGTCGTACGCGAACATGATTTTTTTGTTAAAAAGCGATACTTTTGGTCAGATTCTACAACTGTTTTGAGTTGGATTCGAAAGAATCCATTAGAATTCAAAAGTTTTGTCGCGAATCGTGTTGGTGAAATTCGTAAGAAAACAAATCCGGATGAGTGGCATTGGGTAAGCTCAAGTCAAAATGCAGCTGACGACGGTACGCGTTTTAGGCCGGAGGCTTTGCAAAATAAAAGCCGCTGGTTATCAGGTCCACCCTTTCTATTTGATTCGGAAATTGACTTAAACAATAAATTAGATTTGAGTATCACCGAAAAGACAGTCGAGACGGAAAAAGAATTTATTACTAGAGAAGAATTTATTTTATTGACTAATCATTTCTCTCCATTAATTGATTTTAATCGATTCTCGACGTTTTTACGTTTGACGCTCACTTTAGCAAAAGCTCTTGAGATTCTTGATATTTGGATGAAAAGAAATATAAACTTATTCGAAACTCGGACTGAACGTTTTGAAAGAGCAAAGACATTAGTGTTGATTCAAAGTCAAGTTATTTCCTTTCAGGCTGAAATTGCCTCGTTAAAATATTCGGGTACGGTTCGTAAAAATAGTAAAATTACAAATTTATCTCCTTACGTCGATGAAAATGGTTTACTGCGATCGGACAGTAGAATCCAAAATAAAATCAATCAGGAGTTTCGAAAAGATCCGATAATACTCGATGGCGATGAAAGACTTTCGAGATTAATCATTCAACATTATCACGAAGAATTTTTTCACATGCATCACGAAGCGGTTATCAATGAAATTCGTCAGCTGTATTTCATTATTGGTTTACGTCGCGTTTTTAGAAGTATCGTTGCGCATTGTCCGACGTGTCGACAATTAAGAGCAAAACCATATCAACCACGAATGTGTGCTCTACCCGATGCTAGGCTGGCTTATCGAATGAGGCCTTTCAGTCATTGCGGTCTCGATTACTTTGGACCTATTTGGGTAAAAATAGGACGAAGAAAAGAGAAACGGTGGGGAGCGATATTTACCTGCATGACGGTTCGGGCAATACACATCGAATTGGTCGATAATTTGAGCGCGGATTCTGCGATCATGGCTTTACGTAGATTTTCGGCATTGAGAGGTTTCCCGGTGTATATTTATTCTGATAATGGAACATGTTTCGTTGGAGCTAATAGAGAATTGTTAGAGGCGATCGAATCAATTGACTATGCAAAATTGTTTCAATTTACGTCAAAAAATAATATAGTTTGGAAGTTTAATCCACCTACAGCCTCCAACATGGGAGGGGCGTGGGAGAGACTTATCAGGTCGGTGAAGTGTGCGTTAGCGGCTACTATTAGACATAGGCATCCAAAAGAAGAAACCTTACGTACCATTTTAGCGGAAATTGAACATAGTGTAAATTCTAGGCCATTAACGCACGTTTCAGCCGACCCTCATGATTTGGAAGCTCTCACCCCAAATCATTTCCTGATTGGATCCTCTTCAGGACAATTATGTTTACCACGATATACTTATAAAAATTTAGACTTAAAGAAAGAATGGAAAAAAGCTCAAATGTACGCGGATGAATTCTGGAATCGATGGTTACGCGAATATCTTCCAACATTACATTCTAGAAAGAAATGGCAAAAGGACCAACCTCAATTAAAAATAAACGATTTAGTTATAATTACCGATGAAAATGTACCAAGAAACTGTTGGAAAAAGGGAATTGTAATTCGTGTTTTACCAGGCGCCGATAATAGAGTAAGAGTTGTTGAACTAAGAACGGAAAACGGAGTGTTAACAAGACCTAGTAATAAATTAGTTAAGTACGCATGAATAGATCATGCGGGATCACTTGTCTGAGAATTGACTGTAAAACCTCACTCAAAAAGAGAAAGGTATTCTTTGAATTTGTGTCAAGGCCGCGTCGCGAAAGAATTGCTTTCGTGGGCGCAGAATCTTTGCCAATGAATTTTGATTCAGTAAAAGGCAAAGCTACGGGGTAGTTAAGCGCAGAGGCTTGTCTACGGACGGTTGGCTGGACAAATTCGGGTTTAATTTTCTTGAGAGTTGGTAAGAGTAATAGATATGAAATAAGACGCAATTGTAAATTATATAATTTGTTTTATTTATGATTGATGTTTACTATTAAAGTTTAAGAATACAAAATATAAAATTTTGTAGGTGGGGAGGATGTTACCGATAGGATAAAGAAGTTTGCGATTTACCGACAGGCTAATATAAGTTTTGATTTTTCGAAGAGCGAGCAATTGTTCTTTAGTCATAGTGATGAATTGTTTTTGTAGTCATAGCGATGAAATTGTTACCTTTTTTTTTTTTTCTGGACAAACGACACACGAGCTTGCGCTCGCCCCCTTTTTTTTTTTTTCTCTTGACTTTTTTTTTTTTTCGCGTCGAGAGCGGTCGCTTGTGACTTTTGCTCTAATAAACGCTTAAAAATAAAACGAAAACTGTCTGAAGTTTTATTCCTTTTAAGAATTAAAAAAGCTTTGTCGAAAACAACTACGTTAACAGAAATCTGCCACAATAACATCATTAACTCTAGGTCAAGAGTAAATTTTAGGCTATTGAATGACTATAACATCACAAATTTCTTATAACATTGTGACGTTAAAGATTTTTAACTTTTCGAGATAGTTTTTCAGTGTTTTTACTTAATTTTATAACGTTATAAATCTACTTTTATTAAGTCTACTTTTATTAGGTTATTACAATTAACCATTGACCTAAAACCTACGCGACTTGTTATCCATTATCCACTACATAGTTGCGATAAATTATAGTAAATAAAATTACAAAAATACTATACTGCTTAGAATATTGAAAATTTTCAACTCATCATTTTGTTATCTTCAGTTGACTAAGACCAAGTTTGACTGAATAATTTTTAGTCTGTATTTTGTACGGTATCCTACTTATTTATGCAAAATTTCATTTAATAGGGTATAAAATGCCAAATAAAATCTCTTTTTGACCGTTTAGATTACTAGTAACGCAGTTAAAATCGAACAAAATGTGTTGAGATTCATGCGACCCAAGAGACGTGAAGGATAAAGTCTGAAAATCCTATAAAATTCATACATTTTCTACTTCCTTCAATTGAGATTTACCTAGATCAACGACTCCCCATCAGCGTTGGCCTATCCATGGCATGAACATCGATATTTGAAGTGCGATTATTTTAAAAGTATGCAGCTTTCGGTACATTCATCTTCTAGGACGATAAAAAAAGTTTCGAAAGAGTCCAGCCGCGCGTGCGGAGTTGGTGCACTTTTATGCTCTCGTGAAAGAGTTCTAGCAACTACTTACTTCTCATGCAAACTGCTCGCGAGTACTTTCATGGTCCGAGGAATTCGAGAGCCAACGCGAGGCTTGCACATGTTGGTCAAAAAGAAGAAAAAACTAAAGAAAAAAAAAAGAATCGCTCGCAGTTTTGCTTAAATTTCGAATCTTTATGGTAATTTCAAAGCTTCGCTCGTTTCACCAATTTTCGTTTGGCTAGTGATCTCTTTTTCTTTCCAAGCAGCTTTCGACCGATAAGCTGAAAAGACATATCCCCAGATTCGATCTACTTTCAGATGCTCATTGACAATTTCATTTTCCTCGGATTCTTACGCAATCTTACAAATGCAGACAACGACATAGCTATCACAAGCTAAGATTACCCAAACTGATGAAGTCATGATGCGCTGAGCATACTCTTGAAGAACAATATTATTTTGATAAATTTTACCTGGAGGATTGACCGCTCCAACAAATATTCAATTTACGTTATATGTACATAAAAATTTCTTAACTTTAATAATATTTCTACCAATCTTGCAGTCAAATTGTTTTATGACGAAGTTGTGTATTTAATCAAGATAATGTATCCCTTAAAAATCTCTTGTGTACAATTTTTGATTGAATTACAAAATTTTGTTAAAAAATAATAATAAATAAATTTTGTTATAAAATAAGAAAAACATAAAGAAGCTCTATATTCTAACCTAAATAGCTTTGGCCACAGAAGTGATTCATTTTAATCCAAATATTTATTTTATTGAAAAGTACTTGCGTAATTAGAATTATCCAATGGTTGATTAACTTATGTCAATTGTACATGATGTAAGTAAAAATTTGGCGTTGATTTTGCAGGAGGAGAAGGCTACGCTCAACACGGAGAATCGCACGATCAGTAGGGTAGAGTTCGTGCCGGGCACAGACGACGACGGAAAATCGGTGACTTGTAGGGCGGAAAATCCAAACGTGACCGGACTCTTTCTGGAGACCTCCTGGCGGATCGACGTAGTGTGTGAGTAATTTCGCATTCTCTCCTGACTTTCTTCTAGCAAGCTTCTTCATCTCCCTCTTCCCCTTCACCTTCTAAAGAGAGACGACGTTCTCATCGTTTTTTTATGGTCGCCGCACGTACGAGTCGCTCGCGATTGGCTGTCGATCCTTATTTCTCATAAAAACCGGAGTAAAGGATCCCTCGTAAAAGAGACGCGTAGTCGCCTTCGCGCCTATGCCCGACTCAAATTTACCTTGGGATTGAACCGAAGAAATCCGTATTGGTGATAGGTCTCCAACAATTCCCGCTTCGCACGTATCTTTTCCCTGCGATTTTTCCACTGTCGGAAAAAACACTTTCGGTTGGAATTTGCAAAACTGTACATAATTTCAAGTGGCTATTATAAAAATTAAGAATGTTTGAACCGATAACTCAATGAATATTCATAGAATACCTATCGCAACAATTTATCGTTATTGAAATTCATAAATAAATTTCATTCATTTCATAAATATTCACTTTTTCTTTAGTCCTTATCCGGGTGATTAAAAGCAAAAAAAAGAACAATTAGCTCGTAGCAAATTGGTTTATCGATCGGTAACAGTCCCATAAACTCCATCAAATAAAAATCTGTAAAAAATTTTTATATCTTTATGAAATGTAACATTTATGAATAAATTGTTGATTTATTTTATTTATCTCAGCGGAGCCACGAGCGCGTAAAGGATCAATGCAACGAACTTAGTCTGAAGACTCATTTACGATAAGCCAGTGAAAAGTAGAAAACGAACGAACGAACGAGAGTTATTTTATTTATTTATAAATAAATTACTTGTTCTCAGATCAAAATGCGAATCTCTGATTGAAACTTTTAAAAAGTAAACAGATTCAAAATCAAAACAATTTCTAAATAAATAGTGGTAAGATAATAAAGTGTAACATTTATAATATATAGAATGAAATTTAAACAACTTATGTTATTTACATCGGTAGAAAAATGCGTTCGTAGGCCACGCCAATTTACTCAATACGTCACTTCTTTTAACTATCCCTTTTCCATATTCCTTTTTTTTTTCGGCTGCAGCACACGTATCCATCGATTGGCAGTCGATTATTACGTGCATGCGCAACTCATTGATGCCGCTGACAGATTCGACCCACCTCACTCACTTTTTTCTTCACTCTTTTCTGCTCGCCGGCAGGAGCAAGCGCCGAACTGCAAAAAACAAATAAAAGAGGCCGAAAAGCATTGTCCTCGCGGAAGGGCGTTTATTGATCGGAGAAATTTATCACGAAACTACATTCATCCGACCTCATAAAGTTTATGTTTGGCGTGTGTGGGCGCCCGTGGAAAGTTATGGCTCCCAAGCGATAGGCAGCCGCTTGCTTTTCGTATACATATCTAGTGCGCGTATGTATGAATGTATGACCGCGCAAGCGAGCGAACGAGTGAGCGGAATGACTTCGATTTGGCGCCTGCTTTTGGTGTGATACCTTTCGACGGTAACACTACTAGCCCTTCCCATCCTTTCTATAATAAGATCCATTGTAAACCTATATGAAATATTCCATGAATCAAGAGAGAGTTGCTACTCGCTTGTGGTTAATTACACCAAGAGTAGGTAGTCGATAACTATTGTCTTAGATTCAATGTTGCATTATTCTAACAAGTTTTCTATTAATAAAATATAAGGCATTTTTAACAAGCTAAAACACGCAAACATGCAAATTTCTTATACGAACAAATGTCAGTTTCAATCATTACAGATAGCGAGACCTGTAATGATTGAAACTGACGTTTGTTTGTATAAGGAATTTGTATGGGTGTGTGTTTTATCTTGTTAAAAATGCTTTGTATTTTATTAATAAAAAACTTGTTAGAATAACGCAACATTCAATTGCATTGTTTGTAAACAAAAATTTATTGCTTAGATTCTGAACGCGAAGCAAAATTCAAAGCAAAATACAAAATCCACCATCATTGATTGTATAAGATATTTGGTACACAGTCCCGACGCCGAAATGAAAGATTTAGTAAAAATATAAAGTACATACTTCTTTTTAATACGCCAAGAAAGGAAAATATTCCATCTTGTTTACTTTAAAACATAAAGAAATGAAGAGCAACGAAAAAAGAAAAAAGTGAGGCGAGTAAAGTCCTAGGAAAGCAAAACGAAGGAAAGTTCGTAAAGTAACGGATAAATCGGAAACAAGGTAAAGAGAAATAGAAGAATTGAGAGTGTCTGACACACTGAATAAACTTTTTGAAGGAGATAACGAAAGCAAAGTGGAAGGCGCATCCATTGTGTGTTATAAAAAACAGCGTTACGTAGGTAGAATATAAAAATAAAAAAAATGATGTTACGTTACTTATCCAATTATAGCAACTATCGTCTAAGGTCCTCGAAATTTTAGCCGCTTATGTAGGCCCATGTACTCTCATTCCCCGTTTCTAACGTAGTCAAGCTACATCAGTTTTTCGATGAATGATGCGCAAGAAACCGTGAGAAGAAGTACTGGAAATAAATTATAAAATTATATCGAAGAATAGCATAGTATACAAAACTGTGTAGTTTTTTTTCTTTCCAAAATTTTTTTTAATACAGCTTTTGTTTCAAAAATTTAAATAACTTGAATTCATTTTTTGACGATTGTTTAATCAATCCTTCAACAATTATTTTATACAAGATGTAGGAATATTCAAATACTAAGAAATTTAATTGAAAACATTCGAACAAATGACAAAAGAAATACTTTAAAAGCACGGAATAGGCTGTAAGAAATTGCTTTGTATTGAGCGAGCTTGATATTATGAAAATTCCTGCTTCAGAATTTAATTGAAAAGTTTGGCTTCCTTTGAAAACTGCTCGGTTAAAAATTAAGAGGGATTACAAAAAAACTTCTACAAGAATGTTAACTTCTGAAAAATTAGGTCACCATAGCAATGACGCTGCAATATATTACTTTCCTGAAATTTAAATGAAGAATACTATGAAAAAGGATACCCTTTTTATAAGTGTATATATTTATAACTTAAGAATAATTATAATCAATGTCTTAATAAAAATATGACTATTATTTCAGATGCCCCCATTGTGTCATTGCGCCTTGGATCGACGTTAAATGCTGGAGACATCAAGGAAGGGGATGACGTCTACTTTGAATGTCAGATAAAGTCAAATCCACCGTGGTCGAAGCTCACTTGGATCCACAATGTAGGTTTATCTTCCATTTAAGTAAATAAGCATGTAATTTATGTAGGTTATTGAGGAGTAAATGGCGTAATTACTTGGCGAGATATTTCCTTATTAAAGTCATTACTAATATTGATTTTCGATTGACGAAACATAAATACACACATATAACAGCTCAAATTTGCTACGCTTAACAATCAGATGAGGTTGTAAAATTTTGCTTATATCCTGAGAAAAAAGCTCAAGTATGGATCTTTCCAAAGTATAACACGAGAATAGTGAATATATATATATACCTGCAGTTTGAACGGCACTATGGTTTAAGCGCGTGCAATCTCACACAGCTTCGAGATTAAGGCTTGATTAGCGAAGGTAATACCCCGTCAGCCAAGAACTTGGTGGATCCTTTATTTACATAATATATGGAGGGAGGCGTCAGAGCGATATGTCGGAAGAACAAAAAAAGTCTGCGCTCACAAAGGAACGATTAAACCGCTTCTTCTCTTTCTATCTCCCGCAGGCTAAAGATCTTGTACGCGCTTAAAATACAATCGCCCGCAAGGGATGGTAAATATCCAGAACGCTAAGGCTTCCTTTTATTCTTATTATTGCCAAGTATTTATCAATTCTCTCCCTCCCTCCCTCTCTCTCTCTCTCTCTTTCTCTCCAATTTCTTATGATCGCGAAATAGTCTTTAGAGCGAGCGGTCATGTTTTGCAAATTACTCTATGAATTTTGTAGAGGTTTCTTTAGAGAGCAATCATTATTCAGCAGCAAGCTTTGGAAAGACCGTTTGCTTAATGTACCAATTGATTTTATAGTGATAAAGCGCCAAAAAGCGTACAAGATTTGATATTTCAAATGTCCTATAAGGTATTTTAATCCACAACCAGCTTCATGAGTCAACAGATAAAAATGAAGCAGTTAGATCTGATATTATTTTCAAGTGCCAGTTATATAAAGATGATATAGACACAGCAAAGAAAAAACTGCTTAGTACGCAAAGGTAAATTGGCGAAACAAGAAAACGAAGGTAAATACAAAATACTTTAGAAGAAGGAACAAAAAATAGATCATGATGAAACTACATTTCAATACAAGCCCTTTCTCTCTCTTTGTATCTCTCTTTGTTTCTCTCTCCTTCTCTTTGTCTGGTCTGCAACGCTCTTTAACGTCTCAACTGCTAGCTGAGAGAGGGAGAGAGAGAGAGAGAGAGAGAGAGCGAGAGAGGAAAGGAGAGAGACAGTACTCGACCGGCAAAGTAATGACTGTTCAGCGTAACTCCGGCCTTTCTATTCATCCGGGGAGCAACGCATCCATCTTTATTTTACTTTTCTCTTTCTTAGCACGCGCCGTATATGAGGAAGTAGCTCTCTTACGCTTTGTGGATTTCTTTCTCGACGCTTTTCTCCTTCTTTCATATCTTCAGCGGTATATCTTGGTCGGCGCACACTCCACGCATACGACAATCTCTTTTATCCGACATCATGGGATTCTTATTAGTGGAGAGTCAAGGAACTTCAACTTTTTACTGCCACCCTTTTATATATGACTTGGAATGTCGTGATAAGGTTGACTTGGTTAGTACCAACATCATCGAAATTTTTATTCATAAATTTATATGTATATAATTTCATGTTAAACCACGAGGTCGACTACGTTTCTGACTATATAAATTTAGATAACTTTTTATTCATTCTAACGAATATGTAATGAAAATTAATCCATTAAATTAGCCGGACATGTTTTGTACATCTTTCTACCCACGCTCACAGCTAGTGCATTAGGAGAAAATAATCTCTCGAAAAAATTCACACGTATGTTTTTGGCCAATTCTAAGTACTTTCTGTTTCCAGAAATTTTGTTGTAAAATGGTTTTTTTTTCAAGAAAAAAATCATTAATATTTGGCAAAAATTTTGCACTTCGGGCACCATTTTAAAATTTCTAACTGGTCAAACTGACTTCGATACCCTGTATCATTTAGATTTAGACTAGTTCCAAGTTCATTCCAAGACGGTAACTCTGTGAAAATTGCATTTGAAAAAAGAATTATCTTCGATTATCGTGATTTTTTTGTTTCAAAGAACATTTTTCTATAAAAAAAGAAGCTTCTTGATAATTTGAGTGGTACCATCGAAAAGAGTACACTTCAAACTATAAGAATATATCTGTTGCGATTTCTTTTGCCTTGAAATGCAATAGCTGTGAGCGTGGGTAGAGAGATGTACAAAACGCAAATTATTTCTTTTACAAATATAAAATCAACGATCGGATAACAATCGTTTTGACTAATTTTACAAGTATGTACAGTTAGATCGATATCTTGCAATGTATTTTTAATTGATGAAATAAATAAATTTTTAATGTTTAAATAAATAGAAAATTATTAATTTTTATTTATTTATAACTTTGTTAAAAAGTCAGTTATTAACGTATCAAATTCGTGCTTTTCTTTCTTAAGATGTTATTTTCACTGTGTGATATTTAATTCGTATTATTCGTGATTTATACTTGTAAATTAAATTTCGATATGTATTAATTAAATAATACGTATAACAAGTTTGGATTCGGGATCAGCGTATTGAAATTAACTGAAAAAGTGCTTTTGTTCATTAAAAAAGTTTAATGTTACAAATTTTGCATCTTATACAATAGATTTCATATAAATATGATGTCACGCTTTTTGTATGGTAATGATTTTGATCAAGTGCCCCAATACATCTAAGGTTACTTATTTTTTTTGTAAGTTTTCTTATTTTTGTGTGTATAACGAGTTGCCGTTTTGCAGCAAAGAAAAAGCAGACTGGACCGTTACATTATAATTTCTTAACAGAATTTGGTTCTGTGCTAGATGAAATTACAAATAAATTGAAAGAAAAAATATTTTTTAAATATATTTCAATTTTATTAGCAACTATTCTACTATGAACTGAGTTATTACGTAAAAAATTACAATTAATATTGAACACGAGTTTAATACATTTAATATGATTATGAGATTCTCCTTTATATAAATTTTAATTTAGAAAAGTTATATTTGTATAAAAAATTGATCTTCACACTTCTTTACATAATACATGTGCAAAAATAAATGTTGTAAAGGTCGACGCCAATAGGCCTCTTGAAAATCAATCGGATGTAAATGATAAAAGTTACGACTCGCGTAGAAAGCCAGAGTAGTATATCTGAGCATGCAGTCAAAGAATGACGTTCTACCAGCACGCGTTTGAATCCCCATTATTCCCATTTTAATCGGTACTTCTCAGAGCTTCTAGATTGCCATAATTGTAGGCCATTAAATAAGCATCGCAAGCCTAGTCGGTTAAAGCTTGCGCATAGCTTACACCCGGGAGAGAGATCACGCTTGGCTCGTCGTTAAAATCAGAGTCAGAGAAATGGGATTGCCAAGTGATGATAAGCCTTGCATTTATGCGAGTGAAGATATACCGATAATTACGATCGAATGCGATCGTATTCCGACATTCCAATCCTCATGGGAGCCTCGAGCAATCGCACTGGACAAATCCCAGTGAGACCTTAAAAAAATCGCGTCAACGCTCGTAAAAGTCAAGAGCAAGGGAGCGAACGCTAGCCTTAAAAAAAAAGATAGCCAGCAAAGTCCATGAATTCTTTTGCCTTCAAAAGGTTACCCTTTTTATAGGTGTACATATATATACATATATATATATATATATATATATATATACCGAGTCAGACAGAGCGAGAGGAGACTTTTGCTATGTTGGCCCCCATAATAGCGCGCGATGATTAAATCGCCTCTCCCTCTTTTTCTAGAGCATTCACTCGGACAATCGGCCAGTCCTGTACGTACTTCCTTCATTGACGAGCCAATCGCTGCTGCTGCTGCCGTTGCGGCTCGACCTCCTTCTTTGGCCCTCTTTCAACGCCGCCAGCGTGGCTTTCACAAGGTTTTCAAGCTTTTATCATTCCTTGCCCTTAAAGTGGATTGCCTTTCTTCAAAACCGGATGTTCTCTTAATTATCGTGCTTCGCTATCCCGACTTCACTCTTTCTCATTCAATGCGAATTTTTTTCATTGGCGTCATTTCACAATAGATGTTGCCAGTTGCTACCATTCACTTAATCCTTGTTCTGGGACACTTTGTTCGGATAATTTTTCGAATATAATTATTTTTTTGTTTTATTCTATGTTACTCTTTTGCCAACATTTTTTCCTCGTTTACTTGCTCGAGAGCTCTTGTGATTTTGATTCTAATATTCAAGAGGAACTGAATTTATTAAAGACATATTGCAAGAGATGCAGGTTCTTTGAAAGGAAAAAAACAAGCCTACCTAATGTACATTCAAAGTCATCTTTGCTATCTCAATAAGATTCCGCTTTTGCAGCGTTGTGTACTTAGATTTCAAAAAGTTAGTTGAAAAATATTGTAAATAAAAGTAATACAATTTTGTTCAACAATAAATATCTTTCACTAAAGTAAGTTATATTCGAAATAAAACAAAGAACAGCAAATGAGTTTCCCGAGTGAACTGAAATAGTACATTACGATACAAGTGCGGGAAAGTAGATTCTTGTCTCGTGTGGCGTTTACACCCGAGGGAAGCCAGGGTGGAAAAGCACACGAAACGAGAAACTCTTTTCCGAATATGTATTGTACCGTATTTTTTTATATGACATGTGGAAAATACAATTTTCAGCTCGTTTTTCGCCAAGCGTATGGGAAAGACGTACTTTGGCCTCGGAGTGACGAAATGAATTTTGAAGCGTGGATCTCGACTCACGCGCGCCTGTGCACACAAGTGCATTCCCGATGCCCTCTGTTCTTTATGCAAACAAAATTAGTACACAACTCAAAGAAAGATACGTTTTATTAATTTAGAAAACAAGTTTCAAAGTTACAGTGTATCGCTAAAAAATGTAAATTGATTCGAGACTTTTATGAAAGCAATAGTTCGTTCTCGTACGCTCCTCACTTTTTTGCTTGTCATATTTTAGACTATACTTGTCATATTTTAGACAGCGGAACTTTGAATATCAT